TGACAGAGAGAGACACAGCGAGAGAGGGAACACAAGCAGGGGGAGTGGGAGAGGGAGAAGCAGGCTTCCCGCTGAGCAGGGAGCCCGATGTGGGGCTCGATCCCAGGACCCTGGGATCATGACCTGAGCCGAAGGCAGAGGCTTAACGACTGAGCCACGCAGGCATCCCCACATCCCCCTTTTTTATAATCAGTTGGTTCACCAAGCTTAGAAGCCTTTATAGGTAAAACTGTCCTAAGTTTAAAGAACCTGAATCAGTTGTAGGAATGATGGTTACCCTTGACTTTCTCCCTATAGTTTAGAGTAGAAGGACCACTCTAAGGAATGACATTTGTTACTGTAGCAGCATTTAGGCTCTGTGGCGTGGCCTTCAATCCTGGCTCCATCCCATCCTAGCTGGCTATAGGCTCCTGGGCCTCAGTTTCCACCCGGAGAGTGGGGACAGCAGCAAGATCTACCTGACAAGATTGCGGTAAAGATGAAATAAATGAACACTTAGGAAGTGCTCAGAAAAGCACCTAGCACTTTGTAAGTGCTCCACGACATCGCCTCATGTTGAGATTGGAGAGAATGGTGTGGTGCTTCTGTGTGTGCAAGGCAGGAGTCCCAGCTCTGCCCAACACCAGCTGGATGAATTTGCCAGTGTTTTCACTTCTTTAAGTTGCTGACCTCTCAGATAAATAGTCTCATTCAAAATGGGGATGCCGGTAGTACAAGGCTCAGGGAGCTGATGAGAAGATGACATGAGATAATGCATGTAAAGCACTAAACAGAGCACCTGGACTATTAGAATTAACCGCTCAGGGGTGGCAGTTCCCATCTCCTGGTACTTCTCCTCCTATCCCAGATTCCTGCCATCACTGAACCAAAAGTAATGCAAGACTCTGTGACAGACACCCAGCCTTCTTTAAAGATCGACCCAATCATGTGTAAGAGTTTTACTAAATATATCATCTCTCAAGTACATGCCAGCACCCGATAGGCTAGGTACTTGTGTTTTCTCCCTCCTAGTGATCAATACACCCTTTTGAACCTGTGTTACGAAATGGGAACACAAATACTTTTCCAAATTCAATTCATGGATCTGATGGAAGAACTGAGTGGCAGGGCCAAGTGCAGTCCATTTATATCTTAATATGATGAGACAGAAATCTTGTTAAGCTCAGGCAGGGCTGGCTGTAATCACACAGGCTGAGTCTAAACAAGGCAAACATTTTCAGGCAGTATGAGGGATTTTTACTTCCTTGGGCTGGTTGATTTTGAAGGGACTAAACAGGTGTGACTCTGGGTGAGAACGGGAGATGAGCAGCAGGGAGAACGTTCAGCACCCGGGAGAATGCTCAGCACCCAGGGTTAAATCCTTCCCTTTCCTTTCATCCTGCTGTATGCCTGGATCACAGTACCAGAATCCTGGATCGTCTAATGTTTTTCTCCTCTCCCGCACTTCCAGCTTAGTCTGCTTTCCAGTTGTGAGCTGAATCTTCTGGAAATGGTACACGAGGCATTCGTGTTTTCAGTGACTATAATCACCCCATTCACCCGGCTCCCACCCGGGGCCCCACCTTCAACCTAGTCTGTAAGGTCCTTGAGAGGAAAGAACCTGTCAGCACATAGTAGGTCCTCAGTAAATAGTTGTCCATCAGTTAGCCCTCTAAGAGGCCAGCATCTATTTTTGGTCATGTACCATCAGCAGCAAGCTTTATGTCTGGGATGGCCAGTAGCCTCAGGAAGCCTGAGTAAGAAATGAATCCTTTGGCTACTTTGTGAGCCCTGGGTTATCCCCTTTTCTGTTTCTCAATGGGTAGATGGAATCTGGATGAAAGCCTACTAAGGGAAGTTCAATGTGGCTTCTTCTCAGGCCCGTCCTAATGATACACCCTGCCAGCAGCAATTGAAATTATACTTGCTGTGAGTCACACCATGAATCACATGGGTTGTCACGGCAACCTATTAACTATATAACCAAAGCACCTTCCATTAGCTTTGCCAAGAATGGTTCCTGAGTTTTCCTGGACTGTGAAAATAGTGTGGGTGAGCCCCAAGTTTGGTGTTGTGTTAAGAGTCTACAATCAAAAGGAATGGCCTCAAGGACAAGAAAAGAAAGTGAGAAAATAGGGTTATTTTAGTTCTTGGACCTCCTGAGTAAATGGCAACAATCGTGACAAATTGTTGGGTTGGTTTTGTGATATCAACAAATGCCTAAGGAGAGGAGGTTGAGGCCTCAAAACTAATTTTCTCTAAGTCAAATTCAAAACCAAGTCTCTAGGGGTGAAAAGTGAATACATTAACCTATTCCACTTTAAATGACTGCAATAAACACTTTTTCTTTTTACAGATACAAAGGATTATTTCTCAAGGAAATATTCTGATTTGTACTAAAATATTCTTACTACTGAGAACTAAACTCTCTTTACAAATAATATAGTGCTTTAATTTTATATGTAAGGTATTAGCCTACTGCAAACAAACATTTGAAAATGTACTAAATTGCCTTTAATGGCTATTCATGTTAAAATTAAAATATTTCAGAAGACTCAGAAGCATATTTTACTTCGTTATTTACTGGGGAAAGCTGACATTAAATCGGATTAAACTGATACATTTTCCTGGCGCTTTACTGAGTTCCCTGCAATTTTCAGGCGTGTGTAAGTGCCTGTTCCTGAGTGTAGAAGAAAGCAAGCAGAACAGGCTTACACCGAAAGAATAAAGAAGAGAAACATGGATGAGAACAGGAGGACGTGATAAGGATCTGTTGCCCCTGGAAGCTATCCAGGAGCCTACCTGGTAACTTTTGGGTCTACACTGTGGTGGTTGGCTGATATATACCCTGAGGTTATGAATCCATGATGCTAAACTTCCCTAGTAGCTGGAAAGAGCTAAGAGGATCTGTTGCATTTGTTACTTTTTCACCTCCAAATCTGTCACATTCTAACATTTTAGTGTATGCGGAACTATCCAAGTAGAATGAGATTAAGAAGTCAGGGGCAAATGACCAGTTGTCCTTGGCAAATAATAAAAACCAAATCAGCCACTGATGCCATGAAAAAGATACTTATCCAACATGGTACCATTTCAGCAGGAAAGACACCAGAACAAACCGGTGAAACACAAATCTTTAAAGTGTCCAACCAAATACAGGGGCTGTATAATCACCACAAAGATTAAACTGAAATTCTACACCACAGTGTAAAATTTATCTGATAGGTCCCTATCCCACAAGTAAAAACTTCCTTTTCTGTTCACATACCAAAACCAACAGCAACGTTTCCTATCACCAATTGAAGAATATCACAAATGAAAGCATTCTCTGACCAATTTGGTCACAATGACTTTGTACTAGAAGCCTCAGAGCTTTGCCTTCCCCCACCAGCCAGGTAAGTTAATGACAAACACCACCAGTGCCCTTCTCAGGAACTCAGGAGAATCTGACTTCTCCAAAGACCACGCTCGTGAATTCCTCTGAAGCTACTAATCAGATTTCCTTTCCTGGGAATTTCTGGCTCAGCTCACCCAAAGCATTTTTATTTATTTATTATTTATTATTTTTTTTAAAGAAGCAATACCTATGCTTTCTAGATAACAAAGTGGCCTAAAATATTATCAGGTGTCACATCTCTTCAGATTCATTTTGTGGTTCTTGCACCTCTGACTGGTGTACCTGTGAGCTGACACTCTGGTCTGATAATATATTCTGCAACTGTACATGTTAATTTGTAAGTTGAACCATCGCTCTGTGAGGCCAGTTAGGAAACCCAGATTGAAATTGCTAATGCCGGGTGACTTCAGCTGTCGATGATTATGTAGTCAAGCCTTGACCAAGGTTTCCAGAACTCTGGCTAAAAATGGAAGTCTTGAGATGGTACAAAAATGAATTCACACACTTCACTGATAGTGAACCTTTTTGAAGAACAGATGTTAAGATGCTTTAAGAGGAGCTGGAATTTAACCTCTTAAGAAAACTTATAGGCAAGGTAGGACAGTTTGGTTTCAAAGAAAAATCTGACAGATGCTAAAGAAGAAGTCATTTGGGTGACTGTTAATGGGAGAAAGAACTGACTGATTTTCTTCCTCCTCACAAGCTGTAGGCCCTGTAGAGATGCTAAGATCAGAAATATGATGGGTTGTCTGCTGAGTTGGGTGACAAAAACAATCTCCACATTTAAGTGGCGTAGAAGACTTTCACTAACACGCAACTTGGACAATTCAATTTCTCTGTGGCATGTGCAAAGTTTTGTGTCAACTCTCCGTTCGGTTGCTATTCTTCCCAACTTGTCATTGGTCTGTTTTATCATGGACCCTCTCCCCTAAATCATGAAAGTAAACATCAACAAAAAAACCCCAGGTGATTTCTGACCTCTTTTTGTCAGTTTGATATTTGAATTACATAAAGCGAGCTTTATTTGAAGTCTGTCTACATTTACTTGATGCTTAACGTCTAGGAATTTTCCTGCTGATTTCCATAGTTAGAAAGGCAATCAAAATCTACCCACTCTGGCTGTATCTTGATTTCATTTTAAAGCAGGTATATCTGATGGGGTTAGTTAAGCCTTTGCTGCAAGGCCAACCTGGTTATATTGCCTCTTACCGGAACACCAGCTTTTCTTCACTAGCTACCACTCCCGTGCTGTCATCCAAATCCTTCTATGCATTTAAATCTGACCACGAGTTATTATTTCTGCAATAGGCCAATGAAATTATTCTCAGGGATGACAATTCCTTGAAGGTCCTCACGGATGGATGGTCTATATATTTACTAACATCTCTGGTCTCTGTCTTATTAGTTGAGGGGCACTCTTTGTATCCAATGGAGTTGAACTAGTGGTTTTATCCACTCATCCAAGAGCCAAGTCATAATGCAAATAGTCAGTGGCTTTCTGTGTATTGCCAGGTGGCCAGGAGTCCATACCCCAAACCACCATAAACAGTAGGCACAATCATCCGCTCCTATTCGGGAGAGGCCCAGGACTGAGCTAGCAGAAAGACTGAATTACTTACCACCTCTAGAGTGGGTCCCTCCAGGCCAGGGACGAGCTCATGGGCAAGGCTGTGCAAGGAAGCGCTCTGTACCATGCCTGCCCTGCGGATATACAGAGGACTTCAGTCTCCTGCACTGTCAATCTCTCAGTCATCATGAGCTCAATTATGCACCGACAACAGCAAGAACAACAACAACAACGACGACAGAACAACCCCCAAAAAGCTAAGGGCCACAGACTACCGTGACGGGGGGACAGCCAGCGGGAACCGTGCATCCAGAGACGGAGGTGCTGTCCTGATCATGTGTCCGTTACGGGCTGACCTTTACTTCTTTCCTCAAACAAACATTCCATTGAAGCCCATGGGAGAGCCAGGTGGAGAAACTGCAGGACTGGGCCCTAAAAGGCCACCATCGAATTTGGTGGGGTGGGTTTTGTTTGTTGGTTGGTTGGTTTTGTTCGTTTTTTTTTTTGTTTTTTTTTTTGCTTTTTTGTTTGCTACAAATACAGATAGACAGACAGACAAACCCAAGAGCAGATTTCAAGAATCAACTGAGGCACAAGATAAACTACTTTGATGTTACACAGATTTTTTCCCCCAAATGTTTCACATGAAACCAAAAATTTTAAAAGCATAATTAGGAAAAATTTGGGGACACATCTTTGTCAGTCCTAAATTGTGCCATAAATATCTCCACTGCTTGCCTTAGAAGGATGCCCAAACACATCTCATGGGTAGCACATATCTGTGGTCTAAAACAGTTATTGAATTCTAATGACACTATTAATTCAAAGTCTAAATATGCTGGTCAAGTACAGTGAAAGCTGACTGCCTGCATCAATGACGGATTAGTTTCATCCTGAGGTTCAAAGCACAGTCAAACATTATTGCTCAGATTGCAAAATCACAACACTTTACGTTGACGTGAGTCTGTAAACTTATGGTGTAGTTCGAATGAAGGCAACTGATGAAAGCAGTTGAACCTAAGAAGTGGGAATGAATACAGAGTGTAAATCCAGCGCACATTTCCACATCAAACTACCGATGCCATGTACCAGGGCCCTCGTGGGCCACACTCATGGTCGAGCGACAGCACCTAGATTCCCAGTCAGTATCTCTGCGCCACAGACACAAGTACAAAACGGCCTAAATCGTGAACTAGTGGTGAGGAAAAGGAGACCAAAGTTTAAAAGAAATCAAGGTGATGTTTCCTAGAAACATACCAGCTCTTCTAAGAAGGATCTAGAATAGGGGTGATCAGGAAGTAATTAATTGATCCTCCTGACTAGATTTTATGATTTTTTTCTAAAGACTAATGACTTGAATCACTAGAATTCATCAGACTACGTCTAGACTCTCTTTAACACACACTCAGTACGAACAGGTGGAGATGTACCACTTCCAACCACTACAGGTAGAGAAGTATGACCTCTGTTGACCATGGATCACAGCTGAAACATTAGTTTATACTTGAAGGGTCACAGCAGCCAGACATATGCGAATTCCAACTCTTCAGAAAACTTTGGATAAAAAAAAAAATGCATTACTTACATGTATGTGTCTTCTTCGTTACTGAGATACCTAGAAGAGAAGAAATAACGACAAAGGTAAGAAAGTGTCCTGTGTGTGCTTCTTGGAATGCATGTCATTCACAGTGTACTCAGGAGTGCATCTGCTCAGACGGCGATGCAGTGGCCAGGTTAGTCTCAGTCGTACCCAGCGGGGCCACTGGACCTACCCCAGAACAACAGAACCGTGAGCGACAGCGATGGCAAACACCGCCTACGGGTTTAAGAGGTTATGTGGTTAAAAGCAGCGGCATGGACAGTAATTAAACTGGGTGAGAGAAGCCTCTCAGTTTTCATTTTAAATAGGGGAGATGATCATGTTTATAGGCAGAGCGGGGAAGATTTAAAACACAAGAGAGTGATGCCAACCTACTCAGACAAGAGTGAGTTGAGCAACAGAGCAATTAATTTGCTATGGCCGTTGACTCAGGGTTAACTTTTTTATGGAAAATGACTCTGCCTGCTCACATGAGGCATAACTTTTTATGGTGAAGGAGAGAACATCCACAAAATGTACCTATCTGTCCATACTCATTAAAGTCAGAAGGGGTATGGCTGTTACTTCTCTGCAAATGGTACCAAAATGAACACACGCTGTACGAAAACATGAGGGATTCATGCGTCAGCACCCGTGCTGCTTCCAAGATGATTTACGGAGAGCAGGTGACAGATGAATGGGACTAAGCAAGATTCGGCACATTAAGACCACAGAAGGATAACACGAACGCACACTCCCGTGTTAACAGTGTTATCTCTGTTTCAGAAGGACTCCATTTTGAACTCTTTATGCTCTGTTCTTCTTGGGGGATATTCTTGAGACTAAATAGGCTCAAAGTAATACAACTCTTGAAAACATTTAGCCTGTGACTAAGAACTGTGGTAAACCTTGAAATTTTTTTTCTTTCAAGTTACTAAGAGGACTATTTAACCCTCCTCTGGAAAGTAAAAGTTGTTGAAAAATTTGGCACCCATGGCAGACCCATTACTTAGCTATGGAACAAATCGTACAGGGAAGAAATCCGTTATGAAAATCCACGGTAGACATAAAAAAAAAAAAAAAAAGGAAAAGTTAATTCCAAAGTTGTGCGCCAAGACCAAAATCACACGCTTGCTCCCCCCCAACAACTTTCCAAAGGGCTTATTTAGGGAAGCTGAAATTACATAGCCCAACTCAAATTCTCTTCCCCCCCCAACTTTTTATTGAGGAAACCTAACTATTGTTTTTCATCATGTTTGAGTTGGCTTCTCAAAGTGAAGTTAGAACCTTTTGAAAAGAGCCTTGAAGGCTCTCTCACACGGGAACTACAAAAAATGTTCTAGAATTTTTTTTGAAATAAGCTTTATCATGGGAAGGGAGCTTCCCCCAACAGCAACTGTGAGTAAAGTTTAAAATCTGAATACAATTTGCAACTCCAGCTCATGACACCAGCACCAATAAATTGATACATTAGTGCTCTTTCAGCATTATGAGGGCTATATGTGTACTTTCCTTAGGAAATAATGCCTTCTGTAAAATCACTTTGAAGAGAAAGTGCTTATGCTGTCACTCCTGATTATTCAGAACCTCCACACAATTGGATTTAACACAGCCCAAAACAGACCTATCTATATTCGCTGAGTGTGGAACTATTTTCTCCTGACATCCAAAGCCCTGATGAAAATACCACTGCTTTGACTTTTCTACTTAAATTTATTATACAGCGTGAGGCAGTGTTCTCATCAAATATTTTCATGATGATTACATTGATAATAGATTCTGAAAATCTTTCCAGGAAACCTGCCCGATCTTTGAGATCACAGTAGCACAGAGCTAAAACCACTCACATCTGTCTCCAGGAGCAAGCATGACCCCAGCCAGCATCAGCGCCAACCCAGTCCCCCAGTTTCGGTTAGCGGCCACTTAGTGATTGATACAAAGAACTGGGGGATATACCCACATAAAAGTGGCCAGATTTAGCAGATAAAATGCGGGATGCCAGCTAGATTTGAAGTTCAGCTACTACTCTGCTGTGTATCCGAAATTCAAATTTAACTGAGCATCCTGTATTATCTGGCAACCCTAACCCATACAAATAAAATGTAAACTATATCTATTGTATACAGTGAAGAATATAAAATAAATTAATAGCACATTTTTATGGAGAAAGTCTTAAAAAACACACCCCTCTCCTGAAAGCAGTATTTTTTTTTTTATAAAAAGTGCATTATTTCTAATTATGGAGACAGGACTATGCATAATATTTAATTACTGTTTTTACTTCATAGCCATTATGAAGACAAAATTCTATTACCCCAAAAAAGCAAACAAACGAAAACAACATGAACACACAAAAGACAAATTTAATGGAACGATCAGAAAGTTTATTTGGAATCCCCTTCTTCCTCCTCTCCTGAAAAATAACATTTGTGATCAAACTAAGGTCTTGAATTTGTGTCACTCCTTTCTCTATAGAAGCTCTGGTACTTCATAATAACTGACTCCATAGTAGTGTTATAAAAAAAAAAAGCAAAAAACAAAAAAACAAAGCAACAACAAAAAAAGTGGCACCTGGGTGGCTGAGTTCGTTAAACGTCCGACTCATGATTTCAGCTCAGGTCACAATCTCAGGATTGAGAGATTGAATCCGACGTCAGGCTCCATGCTGGGCATGGACCCTGCTTCAGATTCTTTATCTCCCTCTCTCTCTGTCCCTTCCTACCCAGCCCCCTGCTCTCTCTAAAAAGAAAAGAAAGGAAAGAAAGAGAAAGAAAGAAAGAAAAAAAGAAAGAGAAAGAAAGAA